GGTCACGCGTACAGCGCTATCGCCGTCGCTTAGTCCGTGATGTGTTCATGAAGACATCACTTTGCGGTAACCCATTTCATTTAGATAACAAGTGATGGTGCTACGGCCGTATGGCTAAAGCAACTATAACATTCTCCAAAATTCCACGGCTTTCTGGAAATAAGATAGTTTTGAGTAGAAAAAGGGGAACGTTTTTGTTATAGGGTACATTTCTTTGAAGAAACCTTTTCGTTGGATATAGACTTTCTGTTAGACCTTTAATCAACATTCGAAAGCTCAAGTCAGGGAATATTCATAGGTTTAGTTTATTCAGAAAGGCTTTCTTACAGCATTGCAGCAGGGAAGATGTTTTTGCGTTTGCTGGAATTTCACTTTTTTGTATTCAAATTGCAATCAAAAGTATAGTTCTGTGAGCTTAGGTTTTCTATTTTCATTTTTTATTGCCAAACAAACCTACTTTTGAGCCTAAGCCTAAGCAGCCTATGGCTAAGCACGAAAAGCATACCAGCATCAGGCATATGTTATTTGAGTCTTTTCTTTCTAACCACAGAGAAAGTTCTAGGTTCAGGAACGAAAATCGCTCAACACGTGTGAATAGATGAAGCAAATCGGATAAATAGAAGGGGCGAGCGGTCGATCAGCCATGTATTGATCTACACCGACTCAAACATCCTAACCGACAAGCAATGCGCGGCTTATGGAACTCAGTCAGATTTCCTCTGCTGCATGCAATGAGAACAACTTTTCATGAGGCAAAATAATGTTGGAATTACCGAGATTCACGCTATCGAATGATTATTAGTACTCGAGGGAAGAGCTCTGTTCTGCAAAAAATAGGCGTATGTGGGAACACAATTTTATATTCTTTGCTACAGCTCCGCAAAAAAATATTCTCAGCAAATACATGTGCAAAGTCTTAGGATAAACCATCAAATAATTATTTAATATTTCAAAGAAGAGCTTTACCCTGGAGAATATAAGAACGATAAGGCACAACCAATGTGAATACCATCTATTGTTACTACTACACTGCTCTAAGGGGATCTTAATAAAACAAAGTGTAGACCAGTAGTTATTTCTGTCAAGCAATTCCGAGGTGTTGAATATGGTACTTATTTATTGAGTAATAGTGCTGCAATACAGTACAGTGAAATAATACAGCATAAATAGTACAATAATCGTGGTGGCTTACGTTTCGGCAAGGTTCGCCATCTTCAGAGCCGCTTGGATGTTTTAGATCTTTTGATTGATCATTGAAGAACTGTCACACTCTCAGTTATGCACTGATTCTAAGTGGCAGGTCTTCGATGATTAATTGAAAGTTCTCAAACATCTAAGCGGCTCTGAAGGTGACAAATCTTGTTGAAACGTAAGACACTACGATTATTGTACTATTTATGCTGCATTACTTCACTGTATTCTACTGCATCACTAATATTCAATATATGACTACTATATTTGACACCTCGGAACTGCTCAACAAAAAAAATCACTGATCTCTTCCTACTGTGCTGAGGTTAATGATAGGCGGTCTTGGATTACTTCATGTGTCCCAGTAGAAGAAAGTATGTTTTTGAGTTCACTGTGGTGGCAGTTTTTGAACGATCATTGAAAGTCGGGTGAAAGTCTTTGTCCACTTTGAAAGACTTCTTAAATAACTTTCTCCGATAACAGAAATGTACCAAATATATATATATATATATATATATATATAATAGTGTGAGAGAAATTATGTGGCAACCCAATAAATATAACACGACTCACCATTGGCCTTGTGGAGCCTTGCACTTCTTGCCACCAACTTGTTTCCTCGCACTTGTCTGTCAAATAGGTCTGCGAACTTTTCGCGTGTTCTGTTGACTACTGCTTGAAGATTTCGCTTTTTCCAAGAATGACGTGAAATACTGCATGGACAAATCTCTTTGAAATCTCATATGAATGCGAGTTAAGGCGTTTGTTGAATGACTGCGAGAGAGTGTCGGGGAGGGGATCAAACCGGTACCTTGCTTTCTGATAGTCTGCATCACCACCTACTGAAACATTGCATATGTACTTTATATGGCTATCACAAAATGAAAAAAAGGAGCAGTACAATTTTTATATTTCTATATTTGAATCTGTCTCACAGTTTTTTCTTACTCTGCGGATTCTAGTACTTCTAGCAGCTGATTCAATTTCCGATTTCATCTTGAGCTTCGTAAAATACTCATTGAGCACGTTTTCATGCAATATCGGAGATAACTGGCCACAGTAATGCTGTATTTCGACGTATCATAACTGTTATTATTTATTCTTCGTCGAATAGCGCAAACTAATATTCATCACGCGATTCCAAGCGCATTTCTCTAGAGACGTGGGCAGGAATCAGTGATCGAATCAAGCAGTATAGAATATGGAAATAAATTCGTAATTATTTGAGTATTTTTCCTTTCTGAGTGTCTCAAAGCAACAATAGGAAGATGATTCACGAAAGAATAATGTTTGTGATATATTTATATTCGGTTTACTGAGTCATTAATATTGAAGCTTCAATAGAAACCGTCGAATATGACTGCGACTTTACCGACGGACATCTATACTCCATCTGAATCGGCCGCTTGTGGACTTATCATCGAGGCTGGACGAGAGTATCTACTTGCTGGTAAGGCTTACTATTGTTATTACAGATTGCATCGGCTTTTTTCCAGTTTTTTGACATTTTGGTGTGATCTTTATCAATTTTTGACTGATATATCCATTACTCACCACTGGTTGCAAAGTATTTAGTGATATCTGTATCCGCGACTTGTTTTAAAATTATTAAATCGTTCACGTATGCCTCCGTGGGAAAATAGGGTACTGAATTTCTTTCGAATGGCGTCATTCACTCTTTGGCGTCAGTCGAAAGTGACCTTTTTCCAAGCTTTTGAACACCACTGATTCGACTTTTTTGCCAGTGCTTGTTTTAGACTTGATTTTCGTTGTGATATCTTGCCTTCTTTAATAATTACACACTTTTAGTATGGTATTTTTTCATCTTCAACTTTCTCATTGATTTTGGCAATATTCATTCTTTCACATATGTCTATCACGTGAACTACGTAACGGCGTCTTATGTTGGCTTAATAATCATATGACTAATAAAATACAAAATGCCTCACTACTAGGATTCATCGACAAGTACAGCTATGAGATTGATGGATTCATTTCTGTCACTTTTGGAACATAATTCTATGCCTGTAAAATACTCAAGATTTCTAATCTTTTTAGTGCTTTCGCAGTGTCATCATGTTCCAAGTACACCTTGGAGAATTGAGTGGTAAGCAACATCCGATCTCAGACGGCAGTTGTACAACGCGTTCCATGCATACCGGGGGCGCGTGCTATCACTACCACCGAAGCACCGTTTCCTCATCACTCATTTTTCAATACCTCTACCATAGCTACCAGCCATCAGCCTTCAACAGAGTTTAATCGGTTGAGCACATATCGCTTTATTAATCGAGTTAAGCTAACAGCCATTGTGCAAACATAATTCTCAATTTGTCTTGTTTTTAATTCTATTATTATACATGTGCAATGGCTCCCACCCTAACTGGGTTTATAAAGCGATATGTGCTTACCCGACCAAACCTGCTAGAGTTGGTGGTTAGTGTACATGATAGCAATATATCGAAGAATGATTGGTAGCAAAGCGGTGGTCTTGGTGGTGTAGTGGTAGCACGCGCTCTGGTATGGATAAAACATGGTTTCAACTCTCAATCTGATGTCGAGTCTTTGCTTACCACTCGATTCCCTTAGGTGTAATTCCGTTGCTTCTAAGGGCTTTTTGTAAAGTGAAGCAGCGATAGAGGCTAAATTGGAGGTAAAAATTAGTTGAATGTATTCTGATACAAATTCGTTATCTAATATGAAGATAAGTGAAACATGAATGTGAGTGCTCAAAAAGTAATCTAAGAAGTATGTTGTAGCAAAGCAAGTACAATTACGCCGTAATTCTAGAAAGAGAGGAGACAAATATTGGGAAAAATTGCCACTGGTGAGATATCCAACAGAGTTGGAGCGATACTGAAGCGACTTTTATGAATTCTCTTATTGATTCGAAAACGTTATTTACTCATGACATTGATAAATCATGTTTCAAAGATAAAACTCATGGAAAATGTTTACTGTATTTCTTTTGTCTTTCATTCCGGAAGCAACAGTTCTATAGTTAAGCATAAACTAATTGAAACCAAAAAGCTGAGAATTTTTCAAATTCTGGCGCTGATAAGCGTTACAGGGGATGTCTCAGTAGCTGCTGTAACTGTCGTTCGTCATAATCATCATAGATATGTTTAATTTTCAGGAAGTGTCCATAACGGCACGCTGTATACGGTACTATGTGGGCAGATAATGGTCGATAATCCAAGAGAAGAACTTTATGAGAACGTACTCGAATGGCGCAAAGTACCGAAAGAATTGCAAGAGAAGCTCGAAAGTTCAAATGTTGAATATTTGTGCTTCAAGTAAATAGAGAAGAAATCTGCTCTCCACTTTTCCGAATGTCCGTCCACGTAGATCCTGTTCTTGTTCATTATCATCATCAAAACGGTGTCTCATTCAAAATTCGTTGAGTTGAGAAGTGACAGCTAATGATTCTATGATCCGGAAGAAACTTCATGAAGAAAGCTACTTACTGTTTTCATGTTTTCGCTCCTTCTTTCATTTTTTTCTACTATTCACTTCCGTTGCCAATCAATTCGACGAAAAATAACCGTCTGTCAACTGTTAGAAATGAATTACAACACATTCAAGGACACTCCAATCACATTGCCGTCGCAACGATGAGTGCTTCTCTAATTCTCTAACAGAATTGTTTCGAAATAAACCTATAACGAACTGAACTGTGTTTGAATACTTGAATGAAAACTGAAACTGCTTACATCATTAAATATAATTTCATTTTGTCTAACAGCTTCTAGCGCGTGGCATGACATTTCAAACTATACCCATTGATACAGAGTGATGTGCCAAACTTCCGCGTCAGGAAGGACTAGAACCTGCACCACACTCTTTCTGGGAGCGCGTGCTCTAACCCGCTGCACTACTGACGCTCGTTTTGCTCACTACTCTTTCTACGCTACAATGCCTCTAAGTTGTCAGACACCAGCGTCAACGGCCTGACCCAGGTAGTCTCTTAACGACATTGAACCTAGTCACGCTGACAGATACTGGGTATTACATGATCAAATAAAAATTCCTTCATATTCAACCGCTTCTGGCTGTGGTATGACGTTTTGAGCGGTGACTGGTATCTGACAGATAGATGCGTTGTAGTGTCGAAAAAGTGGCGAGCAAAAGGCGCGTCAGTAGTGCAACGGGTTAGAGCGCAAGCTCCCGGATAGAGAGAGATGCGAGCTCCAGTCCCGCCTGAGGCAGAAATTTTGCACATCACTCTACATCAGCGGATGTACTTACACTATCTTCAGTACCGTCCGATGCTGAGGTGCTCTTCCGACTTCTGAATAAAAGCGGGCACTAGTGAACTCATCTGTTGTCCTCCACACCAGAATAGGCAGCCTAGATTTTACCGTGTTCTCGAAAGAGCTGAGGATTTATTTGTAAAGAGTCTTGTGTGTTACTAGCTAAAAAGTAGCTAGTAAGTTTTCGGGCTTCAGTGAGGACAATAGGCTATGTTGTACCACCGCCTAGAGAAGTCAAACTCACCTTCAGTCATGACCGCTCTTTTGGAGAATGGGCTTGCGTCATAGGTGATAATTGCCAGCCAGGTATATTATCAATCGAGTCTCAACAGTGAGGCTTCTGAGATGTCTTAAAAAGGAAAAGAGTGAAAAGTAATGAAGAGGTGTTAATTGTTGAGCAGAAGATTTCTCTTGCTGGCCAATTCTGATATTATATTAACCAGCTTGGTTACTTATATACTTGAACTGACCAGAGATGTGCAATCTTTGCTCATTACATTCGTTTCTTTGTCTCGCAATCGCCATCCATAATGGCATTTATTCAAGTATGGCGAGTTGTACAGGTCTCATGAGGTGATCATGAAATATAACAGCTGCGAGTACAGATATTTGAAAGTAGTCACGAAGATCTCCGCTTTACGTAAAAGTGGTCGTTCTCAAGAGCACAGCATCCTCATGAAGCCCACTCCACACTTCTTTATGTCTACCTCTCATCTGTTCTTCTTATTACATGACCCGCTCATCTATGTTTCGCTGTCAATGTGTATTCATCTAGATACCAAGATGCGGTACATTAAGATCTGAGCTGCGCAAGCCGACTAGACGTCCTGAGTTCAGTTTAGTTTTTGAAGACATCGTTTAATGGCAGTATAGATTGTCTGAGGTGCTCCCGACGTTGTCAATTATCAACCCACGTCTCTGCTGGAAGACATAGAGCTAGAATAACTGTCAAATAGGAGAGGTAAGAGCGAATTTTGAAGTGGCCTAGTTGGTGGCTGGCTTTCTTAATTGTCTGATTCAACCCATGCTTCTTCTATTCTTCTGCTTAAATACTCCTTTAGCTGTGCTATATGTTCAATGAACGTCCGAAGTATACGTAGGAGATGGTTCTGCACATTTATTTCGAATCATGCACTGCTGATTTTTCATGGACTAATCTTCTTTCGGTTTATGAGTGGCAAGATCTTTTTTCATAGCTGATTTTGTTCACTGGGAATTTTTTATGCTTCACTGATTTCTTCAAAAAGACGACTATTCAATGCACAAGCAAAAGTTCCATAGAAATTTTCCATCAATACGTACATCCTCCTTGTCCCTATCGAAGGCCTTATTTACTGCAGTGCAACAGTGAGCAGGTTTGACGATATCGTGCTGTGGTCTGGTAAGGGCTCTTCTACAGCCCGATACACGTGTTTCGTCCTTACAGACTCGTCAGCCGGGCAGAACCCGTCGTCTTTCGATCTTTTTATAGTCAGTTCTCTCGGGAGCCTTACAATTCTCATAGAGAGTCATCGAAGACAAACGCTTTACACTCTATGTCAAGTAAAACCTTCACCTAACCCAGAGTGTTGTGCACTCGATTGTTCTTTGGCTGGCACTTTTATCATAATTCATTAATAATAATGAAAGGATATATTGAAATTAGAGCGTGGTCTAAACAAAGCACTAGAAATAAAGGTCCTCAGGTACGGTTTGGATGTGACCTATGCAGCAAAATTTCTGTAGGAGTCCTGCTTTTGAAAAGAAAGTCGAAACGCATCTAATTGTACTCGTCAACTACATCAGTTGGTAAATAAGAACTGGTTAAATTGATCTCCTTATGATGCATTGCTTTAAGACAGAAAATATTCATGAGAATAGAAGGATCTCGTAATGGTAGAAAAAATGCGTGATGGATTGATGGGCGAAAAGTTTACCTCATCGAGGATTTCGCAGCCGGTAACTCCTTAGCAGATAGCAAGGGTTCCATTGTTTAACTATAGTATGCCAATTTTTTTGCTTTTCCTTTTTGTACGACAAATTATAGAATTTCGTGCCACTTTGTGCTTTCAGAATGGGTGAAAATTGGTGTCAAAGGAGTGAACTGGTGGTATACGTGCAGAGTAAAAAGCAATCTCCATAGTGTATTGTGTACGTGTTCATCAAATCACATTGCTGTGACGTTTTGCATATCCAGATTTCGAGAACTCACACCGATGGTTTACTGCCCATTGCCTTGCTATAGGCGGTTGCACCCACTGTGCGAGGTTTTAAGGCTGGCCTACTGCTGATCGTGCAATGCGATCTCCCTGGGACTCCTTGGACTCTTTACTAGAAATCGGATATTTCCTTGCAAGAACGTTTTCACATCTTCACGATGTTGATCACAGCTAAGTTTTCTTCGGCGACCAATCCTCTGGTCGGTCTTCCTACCATTTGACCGGCAAACGATGTTGAAACCAAAATCAAAAGTGAAAGCAGGAAAGAAAAGTTGAACGATCTCTTCAAGGATGATGAAGGAACCGTTTAACTAAAACTACCTGAGCGCCGTATCGTAAAAGATTGCATCACGTAGCGTTGAAAGGTGTATTCTGATATTTAATTCTCTTTACCTTTTTCAATGATTTATTAGACTAAGAAGCTATTCTGCATAGAAACAATTAATCATTCGAAAGGCACTATTTTTTCAAAGTCTCCAAATCTCACCAATTTTCAAAGCGTGGAATCTCGATCTAAGCCGCGATAGAAAAAGAATGTGAAAGGATTTACGCAAAACAGAATAAAGCTGATTTGGAATCGATTTTCTTCTTCCTTCGGCATTGAAGTCAATCGCATGTTTTATTGATTTACCCAATAGCACGAAGTTGTTAAAAAAAATCTCATTTATTTGACTAACGTTTCGACGCGTTTCGTCTTCTTCAAAGCTGATGAATCGAATCGATGCCCATAGTCGCTCGTCTTTGTTGTAGCTCTCATAATTCTTCGTTTGAGTTACCCGTCTAGTACTTTGCTGAGTGAGATTCTTCGTTTCAAGAATATTAACCGAAGCCAATGTGACTTGAACGAAGCAAAAACAGACAACAACGAGTACAATTGGCCGATCAATTCAGATCATTGGCTCTGAGGAAGACGAAACGCGTTGGAACGTTGGTCAGATTATAAAATTTTTTGAACAGCTTCGTGCTGTCAACTCAATCATCATATTTGGAAGTATTAGTAAAACCATGCATCTCCCTCACAGAGGCATCACAGGCTGATTAGTGGCGTGGCCCCGTGGTGCGTCTAAAGGTAGAGGAATAAAGGTTCAAACGTGAACGAAAGTGAGCATGCGTCTTCTGGAGGCAGTGGTATAACCAATGGATAGAACTCCTGTTTGTGCTCCCCTAATGTGTGATATAGCTTCGCTGTATTTTAGGAGCTAAATTGACCAAAAGTCAGCAAACAAATGACTAGAAACCACATCGGGAGGTGGTTAGGAGTGCTTCTGAAAAGTAGCTCCTTCATGTCCTCTCTGAGAGAGATTGGTCAGGTACTCTTCAATATTTAGGCTCCACATAAAGCTCAACAAGCCATACATGGGTATCAAAAGCTCGACGCATTAAAAGAAATGGATCTCATTCTCCTGGCGTCGAAAGAACATCAGATAACAGCACTAGTAGGACAATTACAGAGAAACTGCTAAAATTTTTGTTGTTTTAGGCTGTGTGAATCTCGAACCACTAAGCTGACAGTCTGTACCTTCAGTACACGTTCTCTTGCATACGAGTACGGTGAAGGCGGATGACTGTAGACCATCTAGTTGAACTATCGTCTCTGAAGAAGAGTAAGACTTCGCAAGCTGTCACATCACTACTTAAATCGATACGTATGCTTTGAACGCAGGCGATAGTGGATTTTCAACGCTTATTGTACGTAAGGCAACATCGGAACAAGTCTTGGCTTCCTCAAGAAAGTTTTTTATTGTATGAATAACGTCTGCTGACGATATTTGCTTTCTGTCTTTTTTATATCCATGAGACAAATTTCCACTTTTACAATAGAACACCTCATCATTCCTCTCCTATTTTCAATTTTCAACGCTCACAGCCTCGTACTTTTACTTAACCAACCATTTACGCTTTTTTAGCGCAGGTAATGGTTAGATTAGAAGAAAGCATTGAACTAAGCGCAACAAAGTAGGCCTTTCCATGCTGTCGATTTTTGTGCCAAAAAAGCCTTTATCATCTCAGATCGGTCGTACCTAATCATAATGTTTGCTGTAGGTGTTTGTTATTCGTTCGGAGGTTTCTATTTACCAAATAAGATCTTCTACAGATTTTCCGATGACATATGCTGCCTTTCCAATAGAACTACACAATTATCTTCAAGCTTTTGGTCCCAATCAGTTTACTTCCTTAATGTTTATTGTTTAAACCAGCAAGCTTACTTAGTTCCGCTTCCTACACCAATGCATTCTCAAAAGAAAAATACATCCCTGAACTAAAGTTGAGCATTTTCTTGATATGTCGCTGCTATTCATATATATCGTCTTCTCCCCTTTTCTCCACTATGGCTTTTCCCACAAAGAGGTTAGTGTGTCAATTATTGGTTTTCAAGTATAAAACTATTACTTATCATTTTCCTTCAATATTATATTATGTTATGTTTCATTG